GTCGTCGTCGTCGTGGCACTGCCACGACCAATGCCACGAGCCCTACCTCTACCCTTACTGCTAACACTACCACTACGACGATAGCGATGATAGCACAAAAAAGCAAGTTTAAGGCCCACTCATCTGGAATAGCCATCGAAGCTGTAAGCAACCTCTTCACTGCCCGACTCCGCAATTAGACTTGGACAAATGCGCGTCATTGCTAGAGTCTGCCGGTTGACAGAACAATACGGTCAAGCACGGGAACTTACTCCCCGGCATATGGGTAGTTCTCTGAATAACAGGGGGTGTCGCCTTGTTTAGGGTTCCTAAAAAGGGACCCTAATTTCGAGAACAACCCATCTTCATGTGTGTTCGCTGAATCTGCCAGGACCGTAGCTACTCCGCGGCTTTCGGTGGCTCCAAGACAGAGGCCCGCATGGACCTGAAAGACATGCTTCAGGGTTTAGGGTTTACTGTCTGGTGANNAGCACCAGACAGTTTAGGGTTTTGGGGTCGGGGCATCAGCAAAGCCGGCGACCCTCGGGTCTCTACACATCGTGGGCATGCTAGAGCCTGAGGGCATCTCAGTTTCATCTCCCCCCCCTGGACTGCGGCTTCTCCAGAGTTTGTATTCCCACCTTTTCTTGTAGCGCACACTCCAAGCCCAAACAACCTAACCTCTGCAAGCTTGAAAGCACGAGGGTTCAGGGTTTAGGGCTGAGCCGTTCTGATTTTCCTGGTTTTCGAGATAGACTGAAGGGATTGAGAATTGGGAAGAACCCCATCCCCAAGCCAAAAAAAAGCACTATGCCCGGCGACTTGGGAAATGATTTTGGTGTCTGAAAGCTCACAGTTCAAGGCTGAGGACAATGGCTGAGTTGGTTAGGCAATCGCGTTTTTGTAGTTTCGGCTTTTTTGGTTGAGTTTAAGAGCTGGGGCTCAGGTTTCAGGCAAACGACTACGACGACTTCGACTCCAATCTTACAAGCTTTGGGGCTGGGGGATGTGCTCCCACATATGAGTAACTGCACACGTCCCCAAACTGGGAAGCCGAATCATATACACCAACTCCTAAAGCCCTAAAAACCCCAAACCC